GGGTGTTTGAGGAAAATGCTAGTGGTCTCTGCATTATGGTAGTGAGTTTTAGGGGAGGAGATGGTCAAATTTTCCTTCAGAATACATAATTATGTTGATCTCTTTTCTTTAATGAGCAAACACTTTTTTTTTTTTGGTGTTTATATCTTAATAAATGACTTTCTTATGTTGAGACGCATGGAAAAAGACACAAAAAGAACAGAACATGAATTGGTTGTCATATTTCTTTCTCAGGACTAGTGAATGCAAATGTTTGTCATTTTGAACTCAAGTGAGAAAATGTGCAGCACTAATCATTTCTAGAAAACGAAGTGATTTACGCATTTTCTTTTCCATGGAGCTCAAATGTCATATTAATAAAAGCAAAAGACTCATCAGCGGCTAAAAAGGCTCACTGCTACTGTGCACAGGTTTCAAATCAGCCATTTCAAATTGACATTACATGTGAACCGTCGTACTTTTATGCCAACTAGGTAAACTTTGTGTACAGAGGGAGATGATTTAAATGAAGTACAGTGGCAAAAAAACATTTTTTATGACAGAATGAAGCTATGATAAAAGTCTGCAGATCGTTGACATGGTGCAGCCGTAGCTTCACAAATATAAAATCCCGGCAGTGTGTTAGACAATCTGCTAATGATAAAGACACAAACATGTTTTCTTTTTGCTCAGTACGATGGAGAAACTAGTCAATTAAAACTGAGCAGCTGCAGCATGTTCATGAGGAGATGGTGCACAACTTTGAACAGTGAACCAATAAATGCCAACAAAGATGGTGTGGCTCACCAGAAAAGCAACAGAGTGATTTTCAACCTCATCAAATAAAGGTGGTAGAGGTCACTCCACTGCTTCAGCTGAGGCTTGAAGTCCACAAATACAGACTCATTTTGTTCAGCTTCACCCCGACGGGGCCAGTTTCCCACCAGGGACGTCTCCCTGCCTGAACCACGCTTTATTTACATGAATGCATCGCTTACAGAGACGCATCTAAAACATCTCGAGGACTAAAGTTGCCCAAACACACAGACCGCATGAGTAGGCTTTAGTTCCAGTTCCAATAGTGTTCGGCAATTTTTCATTCAATGATCAATGATCTCTTTTACAAGAGAAAACAAAATAGTTAAAATGTTAGTTGATTTAAAAAAA